TGAAAATGAAGCCAAAAATCTTGTTAGATTATTTCTTAAACTTGAGAATTCTGTCATTTAATTCCAACTACACGCCGGGACTACCCCAAAAGTGATAATCTCTAAACTCAAAGTATAATTTAATGTATTATTTTACAAATCAAGCTCTTCGACGCATGTGCTTGGAAATTGAATATCAAATAATGAAGGAATTGATCGACACTGGTTTCGTTCGAGAGGAGAAATATCCATCGTGGCTGACAAGTGTGGTACTGGTTAAGAAATTGAAGAATGGTCAATGTCGCGTCTGCGCCAACTTAAGAGATTTGAAACAGGCATGTACCAAAAAATAAGTTCCCGTTGCCTGTACTGGAACTTATGGTTGACATTACCTCTTCTCACACAATCTTTTTCATTCAAGGATGAGTCATATGGTTACAACCAAATTAAAATGATTTTGGAGGATGAGAAGTATAACACATGTTAAATTTATGTGACTAATTTAAGCCCATTGGAAGATGGATTCATGGAATTTATAAAATTTTGAGCAAATAAAGAAGTTTGAGGGTAGAAAATGTGAAGGAATCTTACCTTCTTGATGATTTCGGACAGGAACCAAATGGAAGAGTAGAACCACTTGCAAATTTTGGCCGATAGAAGAGGACACCTTGAACTTTCGCCCAAGAAGTGGAGGAGACCTTGAAGCTTCAGCTAAGAGGAGAGAGCTTGAAATTTCAATTGATAGAAGGAGACCTTGAAATTTTGGTTGGGTGAGGAGAGCTTTTCGAAAATTTTGTATGGAGAGGAGGTTGAATTTCTCTTGTGAAGGGCTAGGGTATCACTTGGTGGGTTAATATGCTTGGCACCACACTTCTCTTTTGATCAAATATCAGATGAGTAGGATTTCTTGGAGAAGTTAGAGCACCATGTGAAGCTACTCTTAGCCTTTTAGACTCTCATCCACTTGATCAAGATCAAGGTCCATGATTAAAGGATGCATTAAGGCATGTATTTACGTATCTAACACCGACACCATTTCATGCATATAGAAGGTGGCATGTATGTAAAATAACATTTAGGTGTTAGATATTTTATATACAAGAATTAAGTGGTATGTATGTAAATATGAGTTTTTTTTTTAATTTCATTTAGTTTATATTTAATTTTTGTCTTAATATTTGTTTTATGTTATGATTGTGTCAAGTCTAAGTTTAATTTGTTTACGTTTAGATTTTAGTTAAGTTTGTTTTAAGTTTAAGTTTTAAAGATTATTTAGTTTATGTTTGATTAAGATTTTATTTAAATTTAAGTTTGGGTTAACTTAAAATTAATTTTAAATTTCAGGTTTTCTTTTAAAATAAATTTAAGTTAGATTTAGATTTATTTTATTTTATATTTTGGTTTAATTAATATTAAATTTGGTTTGTCGTAGGTTTGATTTTAATTAAGTCATTTTGGTTTATTTTAAATTTAGATTTTGTTTAATTTAATTTTAATTGGTATTTTAATTTTAAGTTAGTTTTAATTTATGTTTAGTTTTAGCTTTAATCTTTATGTTAGGTTTAAATTTATGTTTAATCTTAAATTTAGTTTGTTTAGGTTTAAGTTTTAATTTCATTTAGTTTAACTTTAATTTGTTTTGTTTAAATTTAATTTTAAGTTTACATTTGTGTTAAGTTGAAGTTGACTATAGATTTTGAATTTTAGTAATGTTTGGGTTAAAATTTTGTTCATGTTTTGATTAGCATTTTAATTTAGATTTTAGACTTTATGTTTTAGTTATATGATTTTAAACTTTTTTTTTGATGTTAATATTTTAGTGATTATTATTATTATTGCTTTTATTATTCTCCAAATTATTTTGGTCCTAAGACACCACCAAATGGAGTCCGATTCGAAAGCAAATGAGCTCATTTGAATGGTTTCGTTGAGCTAGACGCACTCGTGTGATCCATTTCGCGAAACAACGCTTCAAAGGAAAATTTATGCTTAGAAGATTTCATGTATGAAAATTTGAAACACAGAAATTGATATAAATAATTGTGTCAAATTAATGACGAACTCATGGCTTGCTTCTCCAGGTATAACAAAGAATTTTATGTAAATTACGGATTAGAATTCCGAGTAATATGATGATCCGAAAACTACATATATTTGGGTCCAATTTTTTATATTAAGTTGAGTCTAGTTCAAATTTAAGTTTTAACTTAAATTTGTTGAATTAAGGGTCCGTTTGGGGCAGCTTATTTGGTGTGGCGGCGTTTTGAAAACACACCTGACCTATTTGGGCAAACTGCTTTTTGACAGTTTATGCGTTTTCAAAACTCTGAAAACAACATTTTCACACTGCACCTATCTAGGTGTGTTGACAGCTTTCTAGCTTTCTGACATCGGTCTGATTTTACCAAAAAAAAAAAAAAATTTATAATAGCCACCGCACCTTGTTTATCAATAGATTATTTTTAATCAGCTTACCAATAGATTATTCAATAAGTTGCAGCTGCCCCAAACAGACCCTAAATTTAATTTGTGTTAGATTTCAATTTTAGTTTTAAATTGAGCTAAGCCGAAACACATCTAAGCTAACTCAAACCCTAAGCCAGGCCAAGATCAACCCATTTAGGCTTGGGTTAAGGTGTTTAAGTCACGAAGTAGAGTTATTATGCTCAATATATCACCTAGAAGTCATGCCATTGACCTATGGTTACTCAACCTTTAATTTTAATAACTTAGCTACAAAACACTTAACACCAAAATAATGGCTAAGGATTAAGGCTAAACATATTTTAAAAATGAGTAATGATTGGTCTGAGTTTTGATTTCGGATCTCAACCATTCACTAGTCTTCTAGCGTAGCCTCTATGAAAATCCTAAGGCTTAAACCTAAGCTCTAATGGAGTGGGAGATGAGAGAAGAAGGACCAAAGTGAGGTAAACATGCTCACCTAATCTCTTTCTCGCCCAACCGTGCAATTTCCCATGATTGTTTGCACATTTGCATCAATTTCTAGTTTTTTGTTTCTTTTTTCTATCATTTGATCTCTCACAGTCTCATAATCAATGTTAGATTGTCTGAAGTGACGGCTGTCAAAAAATTCAATGGATACTGTTTATTGATTTTATATCTCATCACAATAATAGTGGTACTTTAGTACTCTATTTTGTTACATTCTGAAAATAATTTACATTATATATAGGGGTTATTACTCTTTTCTGCCAACTGATGTTATTCTTGAACTTAAAGGTTTTCTCCTGCCTTCAGTATGCCTATTGTGCAGGTCTGATGAGGAGACCATCTCTCACAACTTCCTCAACTTCTCTTTTACCAAGCAAGTTTGGTCCCTCTAACTCCAGTTTTTAAAGGGCCTTTTCACCGGTTACAATTGCAAAAATCAGTTTGATTGGCGGAATGACTGCTCTACAATGCCTAATCTCCTTCTAAGAATTCCTCCTTTAATTAACAGTTGGTTCATCTGGGTGACTAGAAATGAATTGAAACATGGTCGGAATGATGTTCAGAGAACTCCCCTAGCTGTCGTCTCTATAATTTGTGTTCACATCCGAAAAATTCAGCTGTATGGTAAATTGGCAGGCTATCCTAATGCTGATGGTAATAAGCCTCCTGCCAATTGAGTTAAGATAAACGTGTATGGGAGTTACTTCCCCAATATTGCTGGTTGTGGTGGTATCTGCAGGGACAATATGGGTAAAGCTCTATTGGTCTTTGGTGCTCCTCTTCAGCCTGTTTTCCCTCTAAATTTTAAAGCTTTTGCTGTTTTGTCTGCTCTTAGAGTTGCCACTTTGACTAATGTTATTATTGAAATGGTCTATGGTCCTTTGGAATTGCTGTTTTAGCTATGCTGAACTCCCATGGCAGATATATTTTATCTTTAAACAGATTTCTGTGTTAGTTAGGTATATTAATGTCAAATGGTCATTCACTCCTAGGGAAGCCAATGTGCCTGCTAATTGGCTTGCTAGATTTGCTACTACCCATCAAGAGGTTCTTATTACCAAGTCTCCTTGTGCTCTTCGTATTTTGATTAATGGGGATTGTCTTAAGATTCTTTTGTTAGGCCTCCTAAGCACTGTAATCCTTTGTTTCTTAATATATAGTTAACCTTCTAGTTTAAAATATATATGCATATATATATATATATATATATATATATATATATATTTTCTCTCG